TAAAATGATATCTCAATTGTATGTGCTTCGTCCTGGAATGAAAAGACGGATTCTTTGCTAGATGTATAACACTTTGACTGTCGCAATACAAGACATTGTTTTCTTGTTTCTTGCCTAACTCTTCCAAGAAACTTTGGAGCCAAACCATCTCCTTGCTGGCTTCCGTAACAGCGACATATTCTGCTTCAGTTGTGGAGAGAGCAACTATCTTCTGTAGTTGAGAAACCCAACTCACCGCGGTTCCTCCTAGAGTATAGACATACCCTGTAGTGCTCCTTCTGATGTCAACATTTCCGGCTAAGTCAGCATCTACATAGTCTGCCAGTATCGTATCTCCACCTTTGAAACAAAGTGCTTTGTTTGTGGTACCCCGCAGATATCTGAGGATTCATTTGACTGCTTCCCAGTGTACATTGCCCGGATTATTCATGTACATGCTAACAGCTCCCACTGCTTGAGCAATATCTGGTCTGGTACAAACCATGACATACATCAAACTTCCAATTACTGAGGCATACGACACCTTCACCATGTGTGCACGTTCTTCCTCCGTCTTTGGTGACTGTTCTTTGGAGAGTCTGAAATAAACACCTAAAGGTGTACTTACTGGTTTAGCATCTTGCATGTTGAACCTGGAGAGTACTTTGTTGATGTACTCAGCCTGTGATAATATCAAAGTCCCCGACTTTGTGTCTCTCTTGATCCTCATTCCAAGAATCTGCTTTGCAGCGCCTAGATCCTTCATAGCAAACTGCTTCGACAATTTTTGCTTCAAGTGTATAATCTCTTGCATGTTTGAGCCTGCAACGAGCATGTCATCAACGTACAACAATAAAATAATGAAGCTATTGTCGAACCTCTTGATGTAGCAACAATGATCTGCTTGGCATCTGGTAAAACTATTGCTACCCATGAAGCTATCGAACTTCTTGTACCACTGTCTAGGAGCTTGTTTTAAACCATACAAGCTCTTCTTCAACTTGCATACCAGGTTTTCTTGCCTGCCTCTATGAAGCCTTCTGGCTGTCTCATATAGATTTCTTTCTCCAAATCACCATGAAGGAAAGTTATCTTTATATCTAACTGCTCAATATGTAAATTCTCTGCAGGTACAATTTTTAATACTAGTCTGATTGTAGACAGCTTCACGACTGGAGAGAAAATTTCATTGCAGTCAATACATTCTTTTATTTGAAAACCTTTGACAACCAATCTCGCTTTGTAGCGTTTGCTCCCATCGTGCTCTTCCTTGATCCTGTAAATCCACTTGTTGTGGAGCGCTTTCTTGCCTGGTGGTAATTCAGCTAATTCCCACGTCTGATTTGACATAAGCGAGTCCATCTCATCTTTCATGGAAGACTCCCACTTGACTGAATCCTCCACTTACATTGCTTCATCATAGCACTCTGGTTCACCATTGTCAGTCAGCAATAAGTAGTGCAAAGAAGTAGAATACCGTTGGGTTGGTTTAGGAATTCTAGAGGAGCGTCTTAGCTCTGGTGTGCCTGGTTCTTCTTGAACTGCTTCATGACTGATCTGAACATTATTTCCAGAAATCTCCTCGAACTCAGCAAATTCCTTTGTTTCAGCTTTGGTATTGGAGTTGCTTGATTCTATAGTTGACCTGTCTTTGTACATCACATTCTCATTGAAAATGACATCTCTGCTTCTGATGATCTTCCGATTTTCATAGTCCCAAAACTGGTAACCGAACTCATCGCCGCCGTAACCAACAAAGGCACATTTGTTGGACTTAGCATCAAGTTTACTTCTTTCAGCAGAGTCTATGTGTACATAAGAAATACAACCAAACACTCTTAAGTGTGAAAGGTTTATTTCTTTCTTGCTCCAAACTTCCTCTGGTATTCTGCCATCCAAAGGAACTGAGGGCCCACGGTTGATCAGGTAAGCTGCAGTGTTGATAGCTTCAGCCCATAGAAATTTGGGCAATCCGGCATGTATCCTCATGCTTCTGGTACGTTCATTCAGATTTCTGTTCATGCGCTCTACTACGCCATTCTGTTGCGGTGTCATGGGAACTGTTGTCTCTATCTTGATCCCATTATTTGCGCAGAAGTCTCTGAATATCCTATTTTTGTACTCTCCTCCATTGTCAGACCTCAACCGCTTGACTTTCAGACTAGTCTCATTTTCCACCATGGCCTTCCATTTTCTGAAGGTATCAAAGACTTCTGATTTCTTCTTCAGAAAATAAACCCACACCTTCCTTGTAGAATCATTGATGAAGGTGACATAATATAGTGAGCCTGCAAGAGATGGAACTGGAGATGGTCCCCATACATCAGTATGAACCAACTCTAACTTTTCAGCCTTGGGTGTCTTACCAATCTTTGCAAAGCTGACTTTTTTTTGTTTGCCAAAGATGCAATCCTCGCATTCTTTAGATCTGGCAGCTTTCCTTTTGACAAAAGTGTTTTCATCCCTTTCTCGCTCATGTGACCAAGCCTTTGGTGCCATAGGTTTGATTTTCCATCAGCATTTGCAGCTGTAATGATATTCTCTAAATTTGAGGTTACATAGAGAGTATCGGTTTTCTTACCACGAGCAATGACGAGTGCTCCTTTGGTAATCTTCTATTCACAGTGTGAAAAGGTTGTGCTATATCCTTCTCCATCAAGCTGTCCAACAGAAATCAAATTTCTTTTGAGACCAAGAATATGTCTCACACCTTTCAGCGTCCAGGTGGTCTAGTTTGGCAACTTTAGTCGGATGTCTCCTCTTCCGACGATCTTCAAGGTTTCATCATCAACTAGATGAACTTTCCCAAAATCACCACTGACATAGTTCTCCATGATTTCTCGGTATGGGGTGGAGTGGAAAGTTACCCCTGAATCCAAGATCCATGATTCAATCAGATTATTGGCGCTTAGAATCATGGCATCACCTGTCTCATCTGTCATGTTGGCAGATTCCTATGCACCGGTATCTTTCTTCAGTGCTCGACAATCTCTTTTAAAGTGACCCTTCTTGCCACAATTATAACAGGTAAAATCTTTCTTTCTTGTTCTTGATTTACCCCTTCTGGATTTCAATCAGCCACGATTTGAATTTCTTTCTGAAGTTCTTCCTCTGGACTCCGTGTGCAAGGCTGAGAAGGTTGATGCTTCACCTGATTCTCTCCGTCGAATTTCTTCGCTCAGTACTAGATCCCTAACATCGTCGAATTTCAATTTACTATTTCCCGACGAGCTGCTAACTGCTATAACAGTAGCATTCCAACTGTCTAGTAGATATGATAAGAGAATTAAAGCTCAAACTTCATCATCGAATTCAATTTCCACTGAACTCAACTGGGTTGTGATTGTGTTGAGTTCATTTAGGTGTTGTGCCATCGATGCCCCTTCCGTCATCCTCAAATTGAATAAACGCCTCATCAAGTGCACTTTGTTTGAGGCTGATGGCTTCTCATACATACTGGAGAGAGCCGCCATAAGTCCCGTCGTGGTCTTTTCCTTTGCTATGTTGAAAGCAACATTGCAGGATAACGTCAGTCGGATAACTCCGAGGGCTTGTCTGTCGAGAAGAGCCCAGTCTTCATGCTTCATGCCCTCTGGTTGCTTTCCTGAGAGAGGTTGATATAGATTTTTCTGGTACAAAAAATCTTCGATCTGCATCTTCCAAAAGCCAAAGTCCGCACCATCGAACTTTTTAATTTTCACCTTCCCTTCGTCTGCAACCATCGCTCCTACTCGAATCTGGTTTCGTTTGGATCGTTTCTGAAAATTCTTGCGAATCACCGTGTATTAGAACACCTCCGTCGACAAACTCGTATCACCGACAAATTTTTTACTATTCATGAAATTCACTATTCACGTGAATAGTAATGAATAGTAACCTCACAAAAAATTGACAAAATTCACAACCAAAAGCTCTGATACCAGTTGTTAGGAAATAAACCGAGTACAAGTAATTTTCCTATAACCAGATTAGTGAGAATGCGAAATAAAAACGGAAAAATAATACCCGAAATTGATAACGGAGTTCAGTCAATTTTGCTTACGTCTCCGGACTGCTGCAGATATTTTACTAAGAGAGAAATTTTACATGTGTTTACAAAACACTCACTACTCACAAGAAAACTCTCTAGTATTGGGAGAAAGAAATGATTTTTGGGATGGATTTGAAGCTAAATGAGCTAGAGTATTTATAGTTGAAACTTAAGGACTTAATCATGTAAATACCCTAAAGTCTAGTGACTAATTATGATTATCCCATTACAATATTTCAACAAACATCTACCAAACTTTGAAAAAACCATTTTTCAAAGAAACATTTACTAAACTTTAAAAACCATTTTCAAAGAAACATTTACCAAACTTTGAAAACCATTTTTTCAAAGTTGGTTGCCAAACTTTGAACCTTTTAATTCGGTGCATTGCTTGACTTTCAACACTTCTAACTCCTCTCTACTATTGGTAGCTCATAATATATAGCAATGTTTGCTTGTGGGGGGGTGAAAGACCATGTTGGAATTTAGGTGTTTGTGCATTTGTTGTGGATGTTTTAGACGTTATGTTGGTTTAGAAATGTACTACGATCCTTAATGACTTACATAAATTTTAATAATCAACACATGTCTTAAAACCAACATTTTTGGTAAATTTAAGTGTGATTTACGAGTGAAATAGTGCATTTCTAGATTGTGATATCGATATCATATGAACAAAGATAAAATCTGGCTACTTTGAAAGGTAATCTCAATACTTATTCTTGGAGTATGGATAATACTATGTTAATATTGATATTAAGGGTAGTAGTACTGATACTGGGGCTGAATTTGATATTGATACTCAAGAAATTATCGATACTCTATATGGTAGTGCCGATATTATTCCTTTGTTATTGATACTAAAGAAATTTTAGTAAAATTTGGGGTTTAGTGAACTTTAAAATTTTGAGGATTATATTAAATATATTATCAACTTTAAGGACTAAAAATGTAAATAGCTTTTTCTCATCATTTATATATCTAACATATAAAAACCAAACCCCTCGATTTGTTTCGGAAAAGAAAGAGACCCTAGCGAAGCCTCTGATTTTTATTCAACATGGGAGATTACAACGACGCCTTCATGCACAACCAAAACGCCGCCGCCGTTCAGGCCCGCGTTAAACCCCCTCAGAACCGCGCCAATATTCAACAGCTCAAGCTGGTTCGTTCTTTTAGGGTTTTGTTTTTTTCGAAGAGCGTGATCCGATTACTTTTAATCTCGACTTTTTAGCTTAAGATTATTGTAGATTCTGCTTTTATGTGTGCTACTTTATGCTTTCGAATTCTATTAGGTGAATTTAGTTTTATGTTTGTCTTTTGAAATGAAGATTTGATGTGATTTTCGAAATACTTGATGCGGGTAAGAAATTATGGTGATCTAATTATGGGGGGTGGGGTTAAGATGATTAAATACGAATTTGTTTACTTTGCAGATTGGGCAAAGTCATCCTACGGGTTTAACAGCCAATCTTTTGAAGCTCTTTGAACCACGACCTCCGTTGGAGTTTAAACCACCTCCTGAGAAGAGAAAATGCCCTCCGTACACAGGTCTTTGTCGAGTATTTGGTGTTTGAATTTGAAAATTTTCATTTATTGATTTGTTTTGCTTTGTTCGGCTCTGTTAGGGATGGCACAGTTCGTTAGTCACTTCGCTGAGCCAGGAGATCCTGAGTATGCCCCTCCTGTTCAGGAAGCAGAAACACCTGTAGTATACTTGTTCTTAAGTAGAAGTTATTGTGTTTTTGTTTCTGTGAAATGCTTTGCATGATTAAATTGTTTTTGGTACCGTTTCTTATGTTCCTTTATGTGGTTTTATTGATTTTGGAATTATCTTTTAGTAGTATGACATGTCATTGAGATGATTAATTGACTGATCCCTATACTGAGATCACTTATTCATTTTTTTCATGTTTGTATCTGAGCCACCCTTATATTGGGATCACTTTTGTTATTTTTCTCATGTTTGTGTTTGAACCATGTGTTTAAAAGATGACCTTAGTAGCGCTGTGCACCATTCAGTGAAAACTGGATTAACTTACCAAAATTGCAATTGATTTGGTTATTTGGTTGGTTACCGATAATGATTTTCAGATGTTGTTTGTCATAGTTTAATTCAAATTTTCATTGAAATTAATAAGCTTAGTCAAATGACCCAAAATATATAAAACATTATATTTTTTTAATCTTTGTTAGTTTGTTTTAAGCCTTGTGTTCTTAAAAATTTTAACCCATCTTTGAATTTTAAGTATTAGTTTGATATTTATGCTTTTTGTAATTATGAAAAATTAGTATTTTTAAGATGTATTTCTAACTTCACTGCCTGAGTTTACTGAAATATTTTGGCTGGTTAAGTTGGGTAACAAGTACTAAATGTAGAAAATTTGCTTAATCTGATTCAGTTAGTTTTAAACAACTGAATGAACATTCCTAGACTTTGGTACTATTAGCTGGTCAAACCTGGGTGAGTGTTTTGTGAAAAAGAATTGTGCATTGTATTACGGCTTTGGTTTGATATGTTAATTTAACCACTGACTTAATTTGATGGAAGGATTAACCAATGTTATCTTTTGTAATAATTTTCTTTTTCTTTTTCTGGATCAGGGACAACGAAAGGCGAGAATTCATAAGTTGCGACTAGAGAAGGGTATGGAGAAGGCTGCTGAAGAGTTAAAAAACTGTAAAGTCTCGTTTCTTTAAGTTTCTTATTAGTGACTGATGAATTTGTTTGGTGCATGTATTATGATTTTGAATCTTTGTGTCTTCTATTCAGATGATCCAAATAACGACCCCAACATTTCAGGTGATCCATACAAGACATTGTTTGTTGCTAGACTTGTAAGTGAATTTGCCTAGTTTCACATCTAGTTTCATATTTCAGTTATTACTGCTGGAGTAATTTACTAGATTGTATTATTTGTTGCAGAATTATGAGACACCTGAAAGTAGAATTAAAAGGGAGTTTGAGTCTTATGGACCGATTAAGCGGGTAGGTATTTTTGAGCATCCTCATACGGGTTTGGTAAGAGGTTATGCAGCTGCTTTATTTATATTCTCTGTTCCCTTGACAAAATTTTAGTTTCACAATATAAATTTCAAGTCTTAAGTTTTATCTTTTTCGGTGTTTTCGAAACAAGCTATACTTTTTTGTGTAAAAATTGAAGTTTTCGACGTGTATGCATATTTGCTTAAGCATGCTAAAGACAAATTTTTTAAATGTTTGCATAAACTTGTTATGCTGTAATTCGTCATTGTCACAAGATACTATCCTTTTATGGTACTTCTAAATTGCAACGTAAGCAACTACTCGTTGGCATCTATGAATACGCTGAACTGCTGCCTGTTCTGTAATGTATCATATTTGAGTGTGTGTTCAAGTTGTCAAAAGTAATACAGGTATCACTGGTAAGGGTGAATTTGTAAGTTTCACTTGACCCATTGATAAGTTGCTTGAATATGTTAGGATGTAGAAATCATCTCGAAATAGGTGAATTTTCCACACTTTAGGTATTGTTCTACCACTAAGAAGCTTCTATAAAAGGTATATCTGGTAAGGGGGTGATTATTTTGTATTTTGTTCCCCGATATTTTTACAACCCTATTCCAAACATGTTACTTCATTCCTGCAAAGCAAAGCTGAAAAACTATGTTGAATGGAGCAGTTGTGCATTGTACCTTTTGGCCTTTATTTTCAAGCAACTAAAGGTGGCCGGCATCTGTTCTTTTTCATGCTCTGGGTAAAAAATTGGGAATATTAGCATCTCTTCCTTTTGTTATTTAAGTTTTCAGCCCATGCTTTTCCTGCTAATAAAAGCTTTACTTTTGGCTTTTAAAGGCTATCAAAAACATATCAGCAGTTGAGAAGGTGTTCTGGTATTTTCTAGTCTATAACTATTTTCTACTTTTTTAAAAAATATTTCCTGGTAAGGGGAGTTTAGTTTGTTCAACAATTGGTAAATATGCCATGATACATCGGTTTATCTGCAACTCTAGCAATGGTGGTCAACATCTCACAATGGAAGCCCTATTATTAAAAGGTGAGCACGGCTTATGAGGCATAATGCCTGCCTGCCGTGCCATTTAGGAATTTACTATTTCTAACATTTTTGTAGTGCTAGCACTTGGCTGTGGAGATCAAGCATCAGCAATTATAATTATCTTATTCCCATGAGAAGATTTTTCTTCTGTACTTTCAACCGTGTTAATTATTTCTTTCTTGTGACCAGGTTCGGTTGGTTACTGATAAATCCACAAATAAACCAAGAGGCTATGCTTTCATCGAGTACATGCATACACGGGACATGAAAGGTTCACTTTAATTTGATTATCTTTTTCTCTTTTAAGATGGCAGTCATAGAGAGCATTGTTAATATATGTTTTCAAACATCTCACAGCTGCTTATAAACAAGCTGATGGGAGGAAGATTGATGGCAGAAGGGTTCTTGTGGATGTTGAACGTGGTAGGACAGTCCCAAATTGGCGCCCTCGGAGGCTAGGTGGTGGACTTGGAACAACCAGGATTGGAGGTGAAGATGTTACTCAAAGGTACTTTTATGGTGGTTATGCATCATACTGTAATGCAGATGCATAAATATTGGTATAATGGCTTAAACATGTCCACCTTCAATTCAGGTACCTTCAGAGAGATAAGCTAAACTCCAAAATTTTTGCTTGGCTGATGTTCTCATAGAACTTGAAGTCCACTATTACCATGATTGGACTTAACACTTGTGTTATTCTCCTGAGATTAAGTGCTATTTTTTTATTATTATCTGGAAATTTAATGCTATCATTTGCTAAATAGGGAACAAGTACAATCTGGACCATCTCGTTCCGAGGAGCCAAGGACTCGAGAGGACCGACTTGGTGACCGGTAAGATTTAGCTTTGTTGTTCCACCAACTTTTATCTTTACAATCTCTGGTAAATTTAAAGGTTTTGTTGGCTGAATGATTATTTCAGCATAAATGGAAGAATTGTTCATTTTGCCTACTTTCTAGGCTTTTGTGATTGTGTCGATAATAATTATATTATAATTATCTGTTTTATCTTGGAAATCTTAGTGAAAGGGAAAAATCCCGTGAAAGAGGAAGGGAACGGGATAGGGAGCTTGAAAAGTCTCGCGAGCTCTCCCATGACAGACCAAGGGATCGGGATAGAGAGGATAGACACCACAGAGATCGTGACAGAACTAGAGACAGAGATAGGGATAGAGAGAGAGACCGTGGTCGTGATCGTGACCGAGCACGTGACCGAGGCCGGGATCGTGGTCGTGACTACGAGCGTGATAGAGAAAGAGATCGTGAGAGGGATAGGGATAGGGATAGGGACAAGGATTATGATGTTGGTGACTATGACCGTGACCGAGGGCGTTCCAAGGATAGAGATAGAGATAGGGAATCTGATTATGACCGTGTTGAGTCCAAACATGAGAGAGACCGGCACAGTGAGAGGGACTATGATCATGGTGAGCCAGAGGATCGTGGGTGGTATGAACAGCATGATCATGGGCATAGGCATTCAGACCTAGATAATCATCATCATCGAGGAGAATACGATTTGGATGCCCATGGTGATCGTTATGATCAATATGCTGACCGTGACCGTTATGATGGGATGGAAGAAGATGATTACAGGTGATAATCAAGTTGTTGAAATTGAGCCGCTGCTTTCTCTGCCATTGCACCTGGTTTAGTTTAGATCCCAACGGAGCTGTTTCCAATCTGCTTTCTGTTTTGCTGTGTCTGCTCTGGAGTTGAGTGTTTCCTTTGGAGTTGGAACCTTTTATAATCGTATTTTATTTTTATTTTAAGTTTTCTCAAGACATTGCTTTGTTGGTTTAAGCTCTATGCTACTGTCCTACATTGTGTTTGCATCCGTATTGCTTAAGATGCTTTAATTGGGCAATTAATGTTATTGTATTGTTGTTGGGCTTAATTTTTTGGGGGAAGGGATTATTCCAAGTTTGATGTCAATTGTAGTTTTAAAATCAGGGTCGTAAGTATTGTCAATAGGTTAATAAAATGTCTGAATAGATAATTAAAATATCTGATTAGATATTATCTTGTAATCGTTAAAAAAATCTGTCTGAATTAATTCTTAGATGTTTTAGTTTACAATTTAGTAGAAAGGGTGAAAGAGGTAACTTGTGATTAATCTATGTTTTTAGGCTCCAATATCAACCATTTTAAGGTTAATGGAGAAGCTTCTTGCTCGCACATGCCCAAAAGCTGGACCACTTAGACCGCCATTAATTTTGGGTGTGATGCAATTTTGGAGTGCAGCTATATCAATGGCTTAGGCTTTGTGCATCAACAAGCGTGGTCAATATACGAGGCACGAACATGCCACTAGAGATGGCAATTTCTACATCAAATGGAACTACAAAAGAACATCACGTCTCTGTCCCAGAAAAAAAATACGAATCCTTCTGCTTTTGTTGGATATATTATCTTACCAATTCCTTCTCGGACAGAGAGGTTAGGCCTTATAAAGTAGTGGTGGTTGGATGGTACGTGATCGCAGTTAAGTTCTTGTGAGCCTGAACTCCCATGAAGAAGAATAGCTGTTTAAGCCGAATCCGTGGATGCCTAATAATTGCCACTTCCTTCAATGTCTCCAATTGGTGTTGCTAAAAGGAGAAGAAACTAGCCCAAGTTAAAGGATTTTAGTCTAACCAAACCAAAACTATCCATTTCTTGGCTTAAAAAATTGAACAAGCAACACAATTTGGAAAAATGGATTGGCCGAATATGCAAAGCAAATAGATGTTTTTGAAATTTAAAAAGGGTGACTTCGTAGAATGCCTGCACAGAAGAATAAAATCCAACTTCAAACATCTTAAATTGACTTCACTGTAAATCTGAATTTTTTTCATCAAACTTTATCTGATTTTGTTACTTTAGTCGTCGATATATCATAATATTTAGCTAAAACTAAAAATAACATAGTATTTCATCGGTAGATCTCCTAAAACAATTCACTCGTGAATTACAATTTTGCTTCTTGTTATTCCTCGCCAAATCTCCACCGCGTCTTAGGACTTTCGGAGGATTGTCTCAAGAATATCTCTGGACATAAAATCTACCAAGTCCTACACTTCGGGAAGCCATGATCCTTCGATATGACATCTGACTCTATGCCTAACATCAATATTAATATTAAGGGTTATCATTTACTGTCAGCTGATTATATCTACTTAATCTCCTAACCTACAAATAGTCTAATGACCCTACGCCTTGCACCAATACTAAGGATCATTATAAAATTAATTTAACATTAGCATTGAATTTTAGTTTTAGTTTCTGTATTGATTTTGTCACTCTACTTTAAAAACATTTCAATTTTTGACACTGAATCTTAGTTTACGTATCAATTTAATCTTTGCAAAAAGATGTCAAGTCCTTTGATCTTCATTATCGGTTAATCTCATCCTATTATCAATCGTCATTTGTAGCAAGATTGGTATTGAATCTTTCACGAACCAATGCTTTTTCTTCTCCTCAAATTGAAATCGAGATTGATAAAAAAAAGTCACCTAAAGTTTTGATGTTCTAATATTCTAATCTCCTCCAACGGTAGTTTGATGGTACTAGTGTTTAGGTATGTTGTACGTCTTCTCGAAAAAATATTTCTCATCATTCGGATTTCTGAAAAAACACCCAATTCTCTAAAAGATAATAGTTTTTTGTTTAATTTTGTGATTTTTAAAGTGGTATTGAGAAAAAACTAAACCAATAAAATGATAAAAGACGATAAAAATAAATTTATCAATGTCTAAGATGACCATAAGAGACATTAGAAAATGACAGTATTCAACAATAGTTATAAATAGATAAAAATACCTAACATTGGTGAGAGAAGATAATGAAATTGTATAAAATTAAATTTCTATTTTAATATATTTCAACATTAATCTGTTACATTACTCTACTGTTAATAATTTAACCATTCATTACTTTAATTAAACCTAAAATAAAAGTTAAAATCATTAATAAATTTATAGATATTGAGCGTAGTTTAACCTCTTAGGATGCGTTTGGTTCATGGAATATAAGATTACCAGTGAGAATAAGATTATCGGAATGTAACATTACCTAACACATTACTGGGAATGTTATATTACTGTGTTTGGTTTGTTTGAAAGTAATGTAAGATTACATTATTTGGTTGAAGGAATAAAATATTATTGAAATGTATATTTTACCAAATTGACCTTGTTCTATATTTTTTAACAAGTGAAATTCTAATTATTTAAATAAAAATTATTTATACAAAAATTATTTATATAAAAATTCATCGATAATATATTTAAATAAAAAACATTTATATAAAAATTCACCAATAATATATTATTTTATTATTTAAATATATTATGTATTAATTTCATTTTAATTAATATTAAATTTTACATAATTTATTTAAAAATATATTAAAATTTTACTTCAACATAATTTACATAAAAATATATCATGTTCAATTTAGGGTTTTTTAACTCTTACTATGATATTGAATCGACCATGATGATAATTTCGTTGGGTAATCAAACGGATAATAAATGTGGTTGTCTCGCATGACCAAATGATATACCAAGTTAGCTGGTTTAACCATTGTTTTGAAAACCAGACCGACCGGTTCAACCGGGAACCGTTGCCTAGTCTGGTTCAATCTAGACCAGTTGAACTGCTATTAGTGAACCGGCTAGAACCGCTGAACCGTTCAAACCGGACCCGCTGAAAATCGGAAAAAACAGGGGAAAACCGGAAAACCCGCCAATTTTGTTTTTTTTTTTAAATTAAACCAAACGACGTCGTTTGTTAAACGAACCAAGTCAAACTCGAGTATTGCTGAGCTCGACTCGAACTTGAAAAATTTAAAAGTAAGCTCAACTCAATTCAAACTCACGAGCTAAAAATTATGAAGTTTAACTCGAACTCGAAATATAATATTGAAACTTGAACTCGAAAAGGCTTGAACTCAAAAAAAATTTAGAAGCTCGATTGAAGCTTAAAATTCGAGCTTGATTGAAGTGAAAGAATAATTCACTCAATGCTTACCAAAAGGCTCCATGATTTTGAATGCCAAATTACCTCTATTATTTATAGAAGTTAGTTGAGATGATCTTCTATGTTTCTTAGCCATGTGGGATTGTTTTTAAAAAAAAAGATTAAACAAAACAATATCATTTTGTTATGATTTTTTTAGCCCCAAATTTATTTTTTAATTATAGTTATATAATTATATTTATTATTTAATATGTTTTACCTTAAATATTATGTTGTAGTTAATTTGAATCATTTTGTTTCACTTGATTTTATGATTTTTAACTTATATATGTTATAACTTGCTTTGAATATGAATTGTGATATAAAAATTATTTCTTATTAAATATTTTTGGTATTTTTATTTAATTTTTTAAATAATTATGACATCGTCCGGTTCTTCCGACCGGTCGGACCGGTTAAACCAATGAACCGGTAGCATGATCGGTTCGCTAATCGATCCGGTTCTGAAAACCATGGGTTTAACACGCCACATCAATGTTTTGTTACCTCCAAAAATAATTGTTAACAACAAATAAAAGCTTATTTAATCTATAATTCAAACCTTATTGATTTTATGATATAATTAGTGGGATCTACTTTATATAGAAATCTGGTATATATATTGAAATAAAAGACAAGAAGCGAAAATGAAGGTTCTGAATCAGAAATGTGCGCAAATTATTTAATATGCAATCCGGAAGAATCTTACACGAAATGTTATTCCTAGTCTCCTACTTGAAGAAAGCATCAGACAAGAAAGCATCAGACAAGAAAGCATCAGACAAGGAAGCATCTTTAAGTTGAACAATTGTTTTGGTGTGAGCTCCCTTGCCTGCCTCTCCACAGGAAAACATAATACGCAACAGGATCAACATGTCCCATGCTTCATTCTCTCATCCCCTTCCTGCCAACAACATTTGTTCAAGTTCTTCTCTTCGTCTCTCCAATTCCTGCACATCAACACTCAATGACATTATTCTAGTTTCTTTTTCTTTGTTTTGAAAAATCATGAAATCAATACCAAATTGCAAAATCTCCAATATTCATCATCGTGTAAGGTGTCTATTAATAAATATTTAGAGCAATGTTCGCCACTGCCATGTAATTAATGCATTACTTCTTGAACTCACTTAAATAATGTGTTAATGCTAAAAAAACTTTCCTAAAATGATTACTTAATATTCCTTAATTGGTGCTCAATATCCGATCAAAATCACTTGAAATGCACTACAACAATGTGTTTTTACAGCTCATTTGTCAACTTAAGAACACTTTGAGTATAATGTGGTTGGAGAGGTTTAAATCCTTAAAGAGGCATTCACTGTATGACTAGGCTTATAATTGATCAAACAAAAGAATGCAAAAAAAAATCATCAAGACAAGATGTATACCAAAAAGGCCAGATTTAAAGTCTCATAGTTTACCTCCATATCCTTAACTTCTTGTTCCTTGTAATTTCCTTTTCTTTGCGTGAACGTTTGAGAAAGCCAATGCATAAGAGTCCCTGACAAATTATCGATACAATCAAGTAGTAAACATAAACTCAACTCAAGCCACAGCTCTGAACCCTTAACTCCATTCTACCCCAAACTATATTTTTCAAGACATGAAAGTGGATAATAAACCTTAAACCTATATTGCTTCAACTCTTCATTTTTTTTCTTCAACTATCCATGTGCAAGTGTTGGACATATTTTCAGACATAGATGATAATATCCTCCAAATACATGGGAGAAAAAAGAACTTACAAAAGTTAAAACATACCCGTATTCGACACAGACATGTATCCGACACAACACTCACATCCTAATCTGAGTAACATAGCCCTAAATTATAATAACTGTTGAAACAACTAGCCGATAGATAGGCACCATGAAACTAAAACCACACTTAGAACACAAGATTAAAAAAAAGGAAATACTAAATCTGTAGTTCAGTTGAATTATCATAAATCATAATCTTAGCCAGTATTCCTTCAACCTTCCTATCCAATTTAAGTTAGATGGGTCTAAATGAACTTGTAGGACTAGGTTGATTTAGCCTAGAAATTCTCACCGAAACATAAGACGATAGGCTCATTATCTTACCGAAAAAACATATAATAGACCGCAAGCAAGGAACACATAGCTCGCTATGTTCTGAAGAAGTACAAGATCCCGTTGACTCGATGAATATTCAGGGAAAGCTCTCGTCATAACTGCAACACTGAGGCGACTAACAACATATTTAGAAAGAATTTTTTAAAGTGCGATTATTCAACAAAAAATTGTAAAATCAAGTATTATTGCAATCTAGAAATTTGGTATTACAGGGTAAAAAAAAAAGAAAAAAGGAAAAATATTACTGCAAAATAACGCTAAAGCACCGGCAGACCACCAGAAAAGGGTCGGGTCCCTACCTTACTCTGGCGCTCGGAGGCGGTCTCGGCAGCACAGGCTCGCTACCCTCTGGATCTTCATTTCTCGACATTTTTTTCGGTTCACCTATTTCCCTTGGATCTGATAAAATCCCTAATAAATCAAATTAGTGAAACATTCTTGGAATCTCTTGTTCCAAGTCGAAGAAGAAGATTTCAGTGAAGGCTATTTTAGACGACGGGAAGAGAATAATGAAATACCTAAGGAGACGGTGGATAGATATTCCCGGGAATACAATAAAAAATATTATTATTGGTATTAATTTTTTAACTGACACTTGGTAATCTGCCTCCATCCAAACGTGGCTATATTCATCCTGATAAAAAAATTCTTCCTAGGAGTGAATGATACTTAAACCAAAAGGGGCCTTATAAATTAGGGTGAGCAGTACACGATACTACGAAACTTTCTTCGTTAACTCAATTATCATCATTAAATTTTTTTAATTTATCAATTATAACAACGAATTTTAATTTTACATTCAATTATATTATTTCATGGATATTTTGATACTTAAAACGATATTGTTTTAGACAATGAATTTTAAGGGTGCTTTTTAATAATGTCCATTTTTCCAACAAAAAAAAACTTTCGGGGTGCAACATGAATCAAGTGGCTTTCATGGTAAAAGAATTGTTGTTATTTCTTGAGGACTCGGATACGAGCACCATAGATATTAGGGGTGTGAACATTCAATATTGAGAGGTTGAAAGTTATCTTTGAACATATACTGCCTTGTACTTGCCCCATATTAATCAAAAAAAAAATTAAGGGTGTACCGATTTTGCTACTGAACTTTTAAATATTTTTACTTTTTAAAACAACATCGTTCTTGGTATCAATAGTTGTCATCAAAACAACGTCGTTGTGGTGTGACAGGTCGTTCCAGAAACTGTAAACTATATCACCGTTTCGTTACTGACTTAATGACAAAGTGACACAATTAAATGTAAATTAAAGTTCAATTATCAACAGAAAAAGTTTAGTGGTGTATGGTGTAATTTACCTTATAAATTTAAAAAGATTTATTCATTTTCAATATTTATGCAAAAGAACGACCAAGGTGAATAAGGACGTTTTTTTCGAAAAATCACTGGTGATCGGTATATTTACAGATCTAACACCGGTCAGATTATATTTCTCGATCTAACACCCGTAGCAGTAAAGCGCGCCCCATGCCCCGCGCTATACGCTGACATGGGTTACACGTGTGTATAGCGCGGCCCCTAATCCGCGTTATACCTGGTTATCTGACACGTAGGGTATAGTGCGGTATAGGGGGAGCGTTATACCTTTAATTATCCACCCGTTCACACCCCAATCCTCCCTATAAATACCCACATCCTTAATCACTTTCATCACACCAAATTCTCTCAATTTCTCTCAAATACTCTCTCTGTTTAAGGTATATTTTATAATATTTTTAATATTATGTATTTAATTTATTTAAGTATTTTACTTTATTTAATATTTTACTAATATAATTCTTTTGCAAATATATAATAGAAGGCAGTCTACTTCGCTTAGATGGAAATCATATATCTCGACACTTTGCTAATACGGTAACATTTTAACGTTTTAATTTAATTTAAATTATTAGTAATAATTAGTTGATTTATTTAATGCATGATTATTAGATTAAGAATTAATTTTTATAATTATTTATTTTTAGGAGAAGGATCGTGTATTAGATCTTTTTATTAGGAATCTTAAGTTAGTGATACCTAGTTGTGTCTTGTCATATTTAGTAGAGGCTGATTTTGGTTACATAGGTAGATATCAGGGTCACTGTAAGATAGAACCAGACCTTATTTCTGCCTTAGTAGAGCGGTGGAGGCGGAGACCCACACATTCCATCTTCCGTGCGGAGAGTGCACGATCACGCTTGAGGATGTTTCTATGTACCTGGGGCTTCCGGTGGATGGAGATGTGATATCAGGGATAGCTTCCGGTTCTTGGACTACTTTGTGCCGGGAAAATCTAGGACGTGTCCCGGAAAGTTTTATCGGAGGTAGGATACCGTTAAATTGGTTAGATGCCAATTTTTGGGAGTTGAGCGCAGACGCCTCTGAGGATGAGGTTAAGATGTATGCACGAGCATGCATATTGCAGTTGATAGGAGGGTTGATGATGCCAGACAAATCGCGCAACCTAGTTCACTACATGTAGTTGCGACATCTTAGCGACTTTCATCTCGTCGGATCATTCAGTTGGGGCTCAGCAGTTTTGGCTTTGCTGTACAGGGAGATATGTGGAGCCACTGACTACAGGCGTAATGCTATCGGCGGATGTCTCCTATTACTGCAGTCTTGGGCATGGTATCGATTGCCCTTTTTATGTCCCGTTGTGAAGAACCCATTCGTATTTCCACTACTTCTAAGGTAATTATAAAACTGATTTTGTATATTAATAATTTTATACAGCGTATAATAAATTTTTTTCCTTGAATAGGTGGTCTACTGATAGGAAAAATCATCAGGAGCTACATGATGATTTAGAAAAAATTAGGGTGTTAATCGATCAGAAGGCTGGCACACAGGTATAAATTTTAATGTTTAAAAATCGATTTTAGATTATAGTTATATAATTATATTATTATTTTGATAAAAATTATATATTATTTATTTTAGTTTGAATGGGTGCCATATTCTACTGATGATGTGAGGGCGGTGATCCCACCTGAGTTGAGGGATCCATCAGATGTTTGGATGGCGATGGTCCCTCTGATATGTTATGGGACCGTCAAGTGGCACTTCACTGATCGTATGCTCCGGCAGTTTGGTTGTTTTCAACCAATTTCGGAAGCACCTCGCAATATGGACGAGTTGCATAGTTAAGATAGACGCGGCAAGACAGATACATATTGGCTGGTGAGGCATCATGAGTGGGTCGTGTTGTGGGAGGATCGATATCGGCACCTTCCACATAGAGAGCCCATTTTTACTGACTTCTTGATGTATGTTGAGGATTATTATGAGTGGTTCAACAGTAACGGGAAATCGTTTATACTTCCCGAGGATGCACGAGGGCAGACCTTTCCACGACGTCGACAGAGACGTTCACCGACACAACACCATCGTCCCCCGACTCGTGGACGGAGAGAAGGTGCTTCTGGTTCATCCTCAGCTGCACCAGCAGGACCTTCACAGCAGCCACCGCAGCCATTTATGATGCCGCAACCATTTATAATGCCGCAGCCATATATGATGTCGCCATCGCCTTTCCATTACTAGATGCCGCCGCCTTCACCTGGTTTTATGACCCCACCGCCACCACCGTCACAGATGACCCCTCTTGGAGGCTATTATGGGTCTATGTTTGTAGATTCAACTTGGGGTTCATATGCTAGATATTTGGCGGGTTCAGCCTCATCACCCATGGTCGCAGCACAGATACCTCCTGTACAGTTTTCACACTCAGCGATGTCTAGGTTTTCCTAATTTTTGCAGGCCGGTGGGATAGTCAGTCATACACCTCCAGGGTCCTTATTCTATGGAGGTGCTTCATCGTCATCAGCTCCTCATCAACCTAATGTACCTGCTCAGGACGATGACGATGACGACGACGACGATGACAGCGAGGAGTCAGAACTAGTGATACGAAGAAATCCTCCTCGAGACCAACAGCCACCGCCCTGCGGAACACATTCGCGACGCAGGCATCAATATATTTTTTTTTATTATATTTGTATTTACTTTATTTTGTTTAATTGTACTTTTTTATTATTTCTCATTTAATACTTACTTTATTTTGTTAAATTTGTTGGACTTTTTTTTTAATATATTTCAGTTAATTTTGTTTATTACCATTTAATATCAGTTATTGTAATTTGGTTATCATTTACCATTTAATTCTTATTGTAAGTTTGTTGTATTTAAATACCAAATTGTTATTAGTTTGATAAAATTTAATGATTGTGTTCATTTTTTTTATCTTCATCAGCGATTATCGAATGACATTAACTTGAAGTAAATGCAAATTAAAATACAAGAATTATTATTTGATAAACAAATATATCATTTCCTCATCAATTGTTACTTGATGACAATAGAAGTGGACATGTTTTTTTAGTGTGTCCTGGGTTTCTACAATGCCCACATATTCTGTCTTGTCTAGACTTTCTCGAATATTTATATCGCAATGAATTCGATTGGATTTTAGACGACCACGCTCCCTCAATAAACTCGGATTTGGTACAATCGGAAGCCAATCTTGAATCTCATCAGGGTCTTTGTCATTACCTATGGGGGAAACTCAAATTCGTATACCTTAAAAACTTCAGATAGTAGGTATATGGGATCCACAAAATGGTTATAGTCTTGACGTGTATGCGAGCAAGCTGCTATCACATGAGATCATGGATACTTCAGAGCTTGAAAAAACCCGCAGTCGCACGTTCGGTCCCTTAGATTTACTCTTAATGACACAGTTTCAATCCCTTGAAGAGGTCGCGGCAACTCTGTTACACAAAACATTTCATGCCTTCTAGAGAAGCTTGTTACAGACATTCCATTTGATGTTGTAATTTTTTTCTATAGATCTGCAACTAATATAGGGTGATAGACATGACCGCCTTGCATCCAGGTTTGAGCTTGTCCCCCGAGCTTCGCAAAAAGCACCCCAAACGAAAATATGTAGTTTTTACCAAAGTCGCTACAGGTAAGTGACGTGCACCCTTTAAGGTTGAATTGATTGCCTCAGCCAAGTTGGTCGTCATGTGTCCATATCGATATCCACCATCATATGCGTTTGTCCACATTTCTTTATCGATGAGGCTGATGTAATCGTATCCTTCCTCGTTCTTTGCCCGTAAATCTTGAAGCATTGATTCAAACGTTCGAGGAATTAGTTCGTAACCTAATCAAAAAATATATAACTTACTAACTTGTTTTCTTTGCAAAATTAAAATGATAAAAAAATGTATAACTTACTAACTTGCTTTCACTTACCCATGCGCACAATTAATTGACGCTCATTATTATTCTTGTACCTTCTATGATAGTTCGCGGCAATGTGTCAGAGATAATACCTATGTTGGACAAAGGGTAGTTGTCACATTGGACCCAAAGACTCCATTGCTGCTTTGATCCCAACTCCGCGATCTGAAATGACACAAATGTTTTCCCTCGTGATAACATGTGCACGTAAATTTCGGAGGAAAAAAGCCCAAGAATCTGTATCTTCTCCTTCGACAAGAGCAAAAGCAACTAGAAGAATGTTGTGATTGTCATCTTGGACAACTGCCAATAATAAAACTTGCTTGTATTTTTCATACAAGAAAGTCCCGTCGATCTGGACCACAGGCTTGCAGTATTTGGCAACATTAACGCACTGTGGGTAACTCCAAAAAACCCGGTAGAATTGGCTTCGATCGCGAAGAACTCGATCATTATGGTATGCATAGGAGGTTTCAAAGTCCACAATTGTCCCAGGATTCAACGCCCGCACCAGCCTAAACCAACCTGGAAGTTCGTTGTAAGATGCATCCCATTCGCCATGAAGTTTGACAATGTCATTTTATTTTGCCAACCAAGCTTTTTTATAGGAGACAGTGTACCCATACTACGATTGTATAGCTGAAATTAACACTGCAACAGATATATGAGAGCTTGCTTTTACCATGTGCATGATGACTTGGCATATCATTTCAGAGTCCAAGTTGGGATGATCTTGGTTGACCCCTCCAGCACAACATGTGTGAGGACCGGTGTATACTGTTAGTTCCCATATGTTGTTTTTCCTCTTCATTTTCAATACGATAACCATCCAATTGCATCCGTTTTCGCGTCGGGCACAGTAGCATACATATTTTTCGGTCGTCGATCGGTTGACTCTGGACTGAACAGAATTACGGATATTGTAATTTTTGATAGCCATCATCGCTTCTTCTTTGCTTGAAAACTCCATGCCTAAAGATAACTCACCATTATTTATTGATGAGTAATATTCATAGTCACCGAGATGAGGCATATCCGTAAATTATGGCCCGTACATTGCACCATAATCAGCTTCATACATGTGTGGAGGAGGGTCAGTTTGTGTCATATTTCCTGGAACTTCATCTACATCATCATCATCGGAGTTGAATTGCGGTGATTCTGGGTGAATGAATAGTCCGGTCTCAGCACCATCCGCACCAGGCTCACGAAGCGATTCTTCTGGTGGAGATGATGGTTCCTCCATGCACTCCACATTTAGGTCGAAGAACCTACTACTTGCATGTCTTCCCCTTGAACTAGAAGGCATATCGACATTGACATCGAAAAAGCTCGTAGTCGAATGCCCCCTGGAGCTTGAAGCCATCGTGTCAAATGGAAACTGTACAGATTGTTGCGTCGATGACATCTACATATTAAGGTCAAAGAAATTTGCAGATGAATATCTTCCCCTTGAATTGGACGCGGTGTTGCCATACGGGTTGTTCATGAACCCACCTCGGTACATATCGTAAGGAGTTGCGGATAAATGTCTCCCCATTATGACATTAAAATCATTACACATTACTGTAGTCAGTTGTCGAACAGTACGTACTTGAACAAAATGTGCATACATCTCAATAGCGGCGTCTGAATAATTACTTTGAGCTTCAACCATCATTTGAACAATATCATTGTTCGAAAGTTCGAACGTTGTATAAGTTAATGGCAACAATGATGTTGGAAATCTGTACTGCAACGACGACATTCTTCTACTACTTCCAACATGAATCTTCCTCGAAATCTTCGTTATCAGCTCTTCAAGAGTTATGTTTCTCTTGAATGATATTTTAACACGCTCATTTGATACGAAAACAACGCCGGTTTCATCTTCTCGAATTTCACCATCATAATAAACAATAGCTGAAAGTCGTGCCATTCTTTGAGTTTAAAAGTGCGACAATATTATATCTGCAAAAAAAAAATAACTGAAACAAACATGATTAAATAAATTATATATGAACGAAAATATAACACAATAAATTTTTTACACATCAACGTAAATAATTTAAATAATATAATTTTATATTATTCCTGCACCGCAAAACTATTTCGACGTATGCTCCCGCTTTTCAATTTTACAAACATAAAAATTAATTGAAAATAATTAGTATAATATTTTTCAAATAATGATAATAAACAATAAGTATAATTAAAAAATTATAACAAAATTACCTTATAACGAAAAATCGCACGAACTTCTAAATCAAATATGAGAAGATTGCCAGAATTATCGTTGACGGAATTGTTGTATTAATTTATAAGTTGAGAGGAGAGATGCGAGGAGATGTGAGAAATTTAACCGACGGAGGAGTGTATTTATAACCATATAAGGCGCGGTACCTGCACCGCGCTATATGTAATTATTCAGATAAAAGATATAACGCGGATCAGAGATCACATTAAATATAATTCACCCCTATGTAGCGTATAACGCGTCCCCTGATCCGCGCTATACCCCTACGTGGCATATAGCGCGGATTAGGGGCGCGCTATACACACGTGTAACCCATGTCAGCGTGCGCGGTACAGGGGCGCACTATATCCCACGTGACGCCAAATCAACATATAACGCGATTCAAAATGCACGCTTTACTACTACGTGTGTTAGATCAAATAAATATACCGATCACTGATGATTTTTCAATAAATACACCGTGAATAAGAGTCGCAACTGTTGTTGGGCATCAATTCGCCTCCATTGTCATCCTAGTCGAAATCCCCAAGTGTCGGATCATCTTCAACCCCAATCGGAGAACATTCAGATACTCACCTCACTCGAAAATCTTCAAAAATTCACAGTAAACGAAAGCGAACCCCAAACTTCACTGCTTGCTTCCACTCTTTTATTTCTTTCCTGCCTTTGATTCTATTTATCATACAATTCCAATCTCAGCAAAACCCAAACGAGAAAGACACTCTGGTTCGAGCGTTTGCTGTCCCCAAAGAGTCTCTGTTTACAGAGATCGGAGGAGAAAGATATCCGCTTATCACGAAATGATAACTCGGTCTAAACTCGTTGAGCAACTCAGAGATTACCAGATCCGATCTCAAAACACCTACCCTGCTCTTATCTTTTTCTCTCCCAAACCCCATATCCTTTCCTGGTACGTTTTTCTTTTTATCTTCTTTTTCGTTTTCGTTTATTTATTTTTTATAAATATTTTTAAAGTGTACATTTTGCAATTTTATTGTATGTTTCAGTACACGAGTGCTTGTTTGATTGATTTGTAATCAGAAAGACAAAACTTTTTTCTTTTCATCTGTCTTGATAAAGAGAGTAGTTTATGAAAACTATTTACTTTTTATGAACTTGGAGAACAATTGAATTTTAAATACTGAGAAATTGGTATTGTTCCAACTTCAATTATCATATTGCTGGTTAATAGCTAATTTTGATTTGAAGAAATTGAGAAATTTTGCAAATTAAGCTTCTAAGATGGTTCATTGTCTAGAAAGTTATTGTGCTCTATTCAGCAATTGGATAGATTAATATGTTCTCAAATTCATTGTTCTCGCTTTTAACTTGAAACAGACTCTTGACTCTTGTTTTGAAGTTTAGTGTTTTATCCAAAGGTTGGTAATGAAGTTGCAATAGCTGAGTGTGATGAAGTTGTAAGAGTTGAGTCATAAAATGACCAAAGAATGGCTTTTAAGTTAATCATCTTGAAGTGTTTTTTTTGGAAGAGATTTAACTTTTGAGAATTTGGAGTTGTCTAGCTAGGTTGACTAAAAATTTTCTCTTAACATTCAAAACAATATCCAAAATTACTGTTTTTGTGAAGTAATAAGATGATCATTGCATGTAATTTCATCAAGCTTTTAACATTGTGAAAGAATCATTGTTTTGTCGCCGTCTATTGATGAATTCCATGCAATTGAATGAGGACTCAAAGAGTGTTAGGTCATTTCTAGTTATTGTGCTTTTATCTTCTAAATTTTAACTGAGTCACAAGAGTTTCAGTTGTCACAGATGTAAATTGTTATCTTTATTAAGCATATATCAATTGGGTTTTGCCTCTTTCACTGGTGAAAAACAACTGAATAATAGATCAGAAAAAAACTAGACATGCTTACATTGTTGCTAGTGAAATATATGGGAGGAATAAACATAGCAATTTGCAAAATCTAGATGTGGGGCAATGATTAGTTTGAAGATAGTCGAAACGGGTCACCTGGATTTCTGTTGAGAACACTAGTCTTTTTTGATGATCTCTCAATCCCAAAACATACAATTCATTGCTTAATCTTACACATTGTCCTCATCTTTGTCGGATTTCATCATTGATATGAAAGTATTGTCGTTGTCGTCTGAGATATATTGATTATCCTCATCCCTAGAAAAACGAGTTCATGTTATTCAGACAAAAATTCCTTATGTGAACATTGTAACATATCATGTCTCCTTTTAGCATTTCTCTTGCCTTACTTTGGTTGTAAAATGAACTTTTACATGTTCTTGATGTGATTCTGTTCGCTTTGTGCAGGGCAGATGAAGCCGTGGCTATTTTTTGTGCTTTCGTATTTAGTGTGTTAGTTATATTGTCCTATTTGTCGCTTTATTTTCGTCACTTCTGGCTTTCCTCGATCACTATATGCCTTGGTATATTTCTTCCAATATGCTTGAGAGGTTATAGGCAGGCTCTGGTCAAGAAGAGGGAGAGAAAATTTCTATTACCCTTGTCCATGTGAGCCTTTTGTGGCACTGAGTTTGATTCATCATATGAGCTGCCCCTGGATGGCTTTTTACCCGTTTCTGCGAACGGGGCACATTCGAACATCCTGTAAATTGAACTTGGTCAGTAAAGACTGCTGCTTGGCTGCTTTTAAAGTAGACGGTACAACTTCACACCACCCTACATGAAGCCCATGCAGACACTTGGAATCTGTAACATTTCACAGTTCTTTGTACAAAGAAACAAACAATATGCCTATAATATGAGAGCATTGAAGAAGAAAAGAAACCATTTTTAGATTGAATCGGCAATGAAGAAATAACTCCATATTTTCAGGCTTTCAGCCAATATAACTTGAACCCACGAATGGCTGTGTCATTGGATGAGTAGTTTGTCAATAACTTCATACTGTCAGTGTTGAAAAAATTTGTCTTCAACCAGTGGCTCTGCAGCAATGGGCGATGAAGGATCCACTTCGAATGTAAGGGTTAACAGGTCCCTCTCCTTGACATCTGTAGTAAGATCGTAACTTTGGATGTCACGTTATATTCTTTATACCATATAACTTTAATTGGTATATTGTTTATACTATTAAATTTTCAATTGCTTTAATATAATATCTTCTGTTATATCATGAATTCCTTAAAATTCAAAGGGTGTGATAAGATGGATAAAATTATATCGTTTTGGTGTGATTATTAATACTTAGAAAAATATAATTTAGCATTAAACTACATGTGTGTATTGATTTTATCATTGAATTTTTAAATAATTTACTTTTTAATATTATATTTTCTCGATTGTTGCTGACAGTGAATCTGTTAATATTACTCATTGACTTTTGTGGCAAGATAGATATAAAAAATTTCTCATTTCATTTTTTTTCAAGATTGATTTTTTACAAAATCCATCTAATACCGATGAAATTAAAATAAAAAACCACCAAGGTTCTTGGAGGCTTGTCAAATTTAAAAAAATTGAGGTACTGATTTAAAAATAAAAATAAATTTGAAAAGATCAATAATATATTTTAAAACTAATCTAATCAGAAGAGATTGAAATATTCATACGTTAAATTATTGTATAGATTTTTATCAATTTTAAATAAATTTTGTAAAAAAAATCAATTTGATAAAAATATATGAATAATTGTGTATTAATCTTAAGGGCAACGATAAAAATTATAACATATATAATGAAGAAGGTCCATGATACAATTCTTCTATTTCAATTTTTTTTCTTCCATAATCGTTGACATGATCACTGATGGGTGTCAAAATCTTAGAGGCCTAGGAATAGCGGCAACCTGCGTTGCCGTGAAAGCCTTTTGGTTGTCCCTCGTCGATTGGTAGGCCTCGTCATCCACCGAACCAAACTTTTAACCCAGGCGGTGGGAGAACACAGAACCTTCGTTCCACTCCACACGTGTCCATCAACATTTTACACGTGTCTTCAACTTAACAGAGGCACGAGGTTTCAAGTATCCTCTCAAACCCTTCCTTAAATTTCACAACTCGAATGATCAGCAGGGCAAAATGAATGCAATCCGATCAATTCGAGGTCAGCTACCTTCAGTTTTCACCCCATCTCTTCAATCTTCTCTAAGCCACCACAGAAGCTCGTTCATCAGCTTCAGGCCTACCATCACCACAAGCTGTTCTTCCAAGCAACCAGGAAACATGGACCGGAAAGACGAAAACCCTATAGAAAAACCCGGGTTAGTATCAACCAACATCATTCAATCAAAGATTATGGTTTAAATGGTTTCTTTCTTGAAGCTCCGAATTGTGTGTTTTAAAGGGATGTGATGTCTGATTCATTTGGAGAGGGATATGCCACTAGATCAGATGAAGAAGGATTCGGGGGGACTTATGGAGGGAACGATAGTTTATCTGATAAAAGAACAGGGAATGAGATCCATTCAAATCATCCAGGTAAATTTATTTCAAGGCTCAGCCACTAATTTGATTCTTCTTTCTTGTGTGTTTTTAATGGAAACGAGTTTTGATTTTGTTTGTGCATGGAGATTATGACAAGACTCAGGGGAGTGAAGTGAAGGAGAAGGAGAAATCCAGGCATCAAACTCACGTACCCAATTAACTCAAGGGGAAGGGAAGATGTAATAGTAGTCATGAATTTCTATTATGTTTTAAGCAAAAATATTTCACTTTCTGTTTAGATTTACTCTTTAATCTTTCTTTATATGTACATTAATGGCCTGTGGCCCATAAAATCTTCACGCTATATGTACATTAATATATATTACCAAATTAGAGGCCATTTATCATAATATTATAATTTGAAAAATTAATTTTTAAATTAATATTTTTATTAAATTTTAAAATAATATCCTTTTATTTTATGTAGGGCAAAGGAAACTAAAGGAAAATAATATATTAATTAATCAAAAAATAATATTATACTAAAAATATGATAAATGTTGAAGATTTATGAAAAGTGCAGTACACATCAACGATGTGTTAACGTCAATACAAATCAAACATTTTAGTGACAATACATATATGAATCTCGTTCTCAATCATTTAATAATTATATACTTGTATTTAAAAAGTAATTATTCAAATAATGTGAGATTTATTATAGATTTGGTAATTCAAAAGTTTATAACATTTATTAAAGTTGATATACATGCGTTTCTATCAAATGTAACAAACAAAAGGTGGCGATTGAGATTCATTATTTCAAAAGAATATTTCTGTGCATTATATTTCACATCGAGAGGAGAAAAATATAGATGGGGATCAATCTTCTTCACCTATACAGTGGATCAATCTTATTCTCCACCTTGAAATCATGTCGTGGTGGAGGCGGCTTTGGATTTCAGCAGGTTGAGCTAGAGCATTAACTACATTTGCTTCCCGACTAACTTAAATTATATAGACCATCCATTGACCGGCAATGACCAAAATGATGACGTCATTCAACAAACAACTAAATTATGCAGTCAAGGAAGAGGAAATCTCATTGGAAGTCTCATTTTCAGATATCAATACATCAATAGAGTACAGTATCATTTGTATCACCATAAGAAACAAAAATGCACTACATCGGGTGAATGAAGAAAAAAAACAGATACTAGGATCATTCAACTTGCAGATGGAGGTTGGGGAGGGGGTGGCATTGACATTTGTGGCATAGGAGGCCTTCCACCCATTTGCTGCTGTTGTGGTGGTGGTGGTGCTGATTGGGGCCAGCCATGTGGTGCTCCCATCGACATTGGTGGTGGATGCCTTGAAAGACCTGACATTGCCTGTGGAGGTGGTGGCATGTTTGGTGGAGGGGGCCTGTACTGCATTGGTGGAGGCGGCATGACTGGAGGCGGCATTTGGTGTCCAAGATGCTGTGGCTGACCCTGCCATGGAGCTTGTCCGCCAAGCTGCATTTGTGGGTAGGGAACATTTTGAGGGGGTGGAGGACGAGCTACTGGCATCGGGCTTGGAGGGACAGTACCATTCGCGAAAGGTCGTGGAGGCACCGGTGCACCCATACCACCATTGGCCTGGGGACCAGAAGGTAGCATCGGGGGTCCACTCGCAAACAAAGTATGGGGCCTGCTCTTCTGGGAGCTTGGATTACTAGCAGCTAACACTCTCTCTGTATCACAAAGAAAAGTTTTAGAGCTACCTACCGATCGCTATGGCAAAAACAGCCAGTATAAAAATAATAGCCCAGAAAAAAGGGACAAAATGGTCTAGTTAGCTATGGTGAAAAATGTAAAAATGCACCTGCTGGGGTGCCATGACGCTCCCCTTTCGTGTCTTTCTTATATGCATACGAAACTGTTATTTGACGGTTACAAAGGTATTGGCCATTCATTGCCTGTAACATCAAATAGAAAGTGAACATATTTTGTAAGATAGAAGAAACATGTCAATGATGTATAAGACAGTTGTCACAACGCATATTCACATTCCATTGAAGCAGTGACAACAGCAACAAAAAATGCCCTTTAATTAGCATATAACTTGCAAGTGGCAATGCGAACATACCTCAATAGCAGCATCGGATGCCTCAAAAGAATCATAGCTGATGAATCCAAAACCGCGTGAATTTCCAGTATCAGGATCTCTCATTATCTGATGTCAGAAAGTGATCATATGAACCCACTATAATTGTGCAGAATAAAGGAAATGTTGAATTTTTTTCTAAACCCGCTATCATATGAACTTCTTATCCAATTTCTGAACCCACTATCAAGGACTTTCCAGAGATAAGCAGAATGAGACTAGGACTTACTATCAGTTCTAGTATCATCTCCAGAAACAAAAATTAGAAAATAAGGCATATAAGCATCCAAACCCATCTCATAGATTATGAGATTGCATAACAATGCAAATATATAAAAGCCAGCACTAACTTAGAAAATCTGGTGGCTCATAAGAAAAACACACCACCCTCCTCAGTCAATTCACAGGTTTCAACTTCATCTCATCATCAATCACAGATAAAGTTATGGCAGCAAACACTTTAGTTATATATGAAGTCAAGAAGCAGCAGAGCATCGAAAACAAGCAAAATGAAGAGATGTAGACATGCAGTTCTACAAATGGACAAAAATGGGCGGCTCATTAACCAACTATCAGTTGATCTAACGGCATAAGATGTTAGCTCCCTTCAACAAGGTCAAGGATTCAAATTCTGACATTGTAAATGGAGAAAACTAAGTTAGGAGGGTCGCCCCCATAATGAACCTCTAGAGTATTCTATCCAGATTAGTCAATCAATAGGTCACGTACCAGTAGTTATACCCGACAAAGTTGAGCTCATTAAGCATCTGTAAAGTCGGTACCTTGGGATTTGAAACAATGACTCCAAATGCACTAAAGGTATCGTACAAAAGTTTTTCTTCCACATCCTGTAAGTATAGTCCGATAATCACAAAGTTAAAACAGGAAATCTATGACTTCATGGCAACTCTATACTTCTAATAGCATATTAATACTTACTGGATCAAGGTTTCCTATAAAAAGATTTGCCCCAACATCTAAACTCTTTTTATCTTGAGATGCCTGAAATCAAGCATAAAAAAACATAATAATCAACAAAAATAATGGTTACTTTGACTCAACAAAAAAATGCAATACTGTACATTTCGGAATTTCATACCTTATTTACACGAATAGGCTTTCCATAAAGCTTAATCATGTTGAGCACCTTAATAGCCTAGAAAACCAAACAAATAAATCTAATTATTTAAAAAGGAACAAAATGAAACCAAGGGCTAAAATCCCTGAAGGGAAAAGACATACATAATCGGCATCTTCTTCGCTTCGGAATTCGACGAATCCATATCCTTGATGCAAGTTGGTCACTCTATCTTTCGGCACATAAACATTAACTGAAATGATAGATAGAAACCAGGAATTTTCAATTAACTCAATTCACATAAGAACCCATGTTCGAAACAAAATTAAACCTCGGAAGCTTAAACAGTAACAAAAACTTGAGATTACTAAACGTACCAACAGGACCAGCTTGAACAAATAACTCCCATAATAACTCTTCAGATACCTGGAAAGTGAGTAAAAGATATCAAACTGTAGAAGTAAAACAATATTGGGGGGGTGAAAATGGCGAGAACCTGAGGATCAAGATTGCCGACATAAGCAGTGGCGTCTTGGTTCCTCTCAGCGGAGTGTTGACCGAGCAAGTTTGCTCCAACTCCTGGAGCGATTCGCGTTGTCATTTGCTTGGGCTTTGGCTTTGGCTTCGCTTCTTCCCCTTTCCTTTCCTTTCCTTCTGGTTCTTTCGCTAAAACCCTGATTAAGCTCTGCTCGAGTTTTCTGGAGATCTGTGACCCAAGGGATTACAAAGTGACGGGCGGCGTTCGTCGATGGCCTAAATTGGCCCACTTTAGGGTAACTGGCTTCTCAATTTTCTAAAGTTTGCCTTGCTATAGGTGGGTTGAGATTTGAGGCCCAACTTGAAGGTTTTGATTTCCCCCTCTTTCTATTCACATATTTATATTTAATAATATAAATGCAATTTATGTTATTGGAAAAGTTTATACAAATAAATAAGTATTCATTTCAGTCATTATGTATCGATATTGGGTCAATGAGTATTAATATTGTCACTAAAAATTTAAAATTAACTTAAAATTCGAGTACTTATAATGTATATATAAATATCGATGCAGTTAATATAATATTAATATTCTTTGAATGTATCAATTCTCCTATGATGTTCAATATTATAAAATTTTATGAAAAAACTGTATGTATAATATTAATATTCTTTGAAGTTATTTGTTTTATTATGATGTTCAGTATTTTGAAATTTTATGAAAAATTCGATACATAATCTTTGATATCGGTACTCACATAACATGTATTGATTCCACCTTTCTTAAAGCACAAGATAACCGTACAACTTCTCAGTTTAATGTCAATTATGTGGCCTACGTAACCTATTTTCATCACACTTAACCCTCTAATACATTTGATCACTCATCATGTCAAAAAGATACCAAAGCAATATTGGATCTGCAAGTAGATTTAAGCCTAAAAGTACATTCTAAAATCCCCTCTCAACATCTAATGAGGTTAAATTATACATATTTGGTCTTTCAACAATTCCAACATCCAATCACTTGAATTAGGGATGGGCGTTCGGTTTAGTCGATTTGAGTAAAAAAAATTCTAGTTATTTGAATTGACAAGTTCTATTTTATAACCCGAAGTTGACTTGAATTTTTTTCCAATTGAGTCGAGTTCATAAAATTCGGGTTGAATTTTTGAGTTTCTGTTTTAATTTTTTTGTAAATATTTATAATATTATGATATTATTTATTCTATTTTAAATAGTTTTTTTATAAAAGTAAATAATACATATATATTTTTTCATATGTGGTATACATATATCATACAGAGTCGAGTGACTCAACTTAAACTTGAAATCAATCCACTGACTACTAAAAATTTCGAGGCATTTGGATTTCTATTTGAGTTGTATTTTACAATTCGATCGGAACTTAAAAAAATTCAAATTGAGTTTTGTCCACCCTTAACTTAAATTATCATTTGAGATTTGTCTACGCAAAGAAAAACATATGAGCATATATTATAGAATGCTAATCAAACCAGCATACTTGAAACATTACTTAAGCATTCAAACATTCATGAATCTTGCATACCAATATCCAAATCACATCAAATGGTTCAAATATATCAATTAGACTATTTTTAGAATATGAAATTCA